GTTTCATTTCGTAATTATGTTGCGTTTTTGGTGTATTTTATAGTTCTATTGTCAGTCACAGCATGTCGGAGAAAACGCCTTTTGTGGCCCATGACAATCAAAGTAAACATTACATGACAAGTAAAGGTTAAACGATTGCATGCAGAAATGTTATTCATTTTAAGGTTTAACGTGAAGTTGTGTTTAACATTATGTAGGCATATTCTTGGAAACGAGCTGACAGCAGAAATCACACAACAAAACGAAATGTTATCATTTCATAAGTAAATGAGTAAACTATTTAATAATGCAATTGAAAACCAGGTAATTCATGACAACTAAAAATGAATGCCGCGATTTCAATATTCATAAGGATTAATTTTTAGGTGTCGTCAATACGTCAGTTTTGTACGTTTAAATGCTGAAAATACATCAGTATTGTACGTTTTAGTGCCTGTAAAAACGTACGGAAATGTATGTTTTATAGAACTACATTTTACATAAAATACATACAAATTATCATGAGATCACGTTGGTCATGCAGGCATTCATATGAGAAGTTTAACAGAAAATTAGTCATTCAAAGAAAAAAATATATTTTTGAAGATGAATAATTTAGCCTACAGCAGAACAGAAGAAGAGTTTTAGAACATTTATAAGCAGGCCACAGAGAAGGCTGCATCAGTGGGCCTGGATCCTCCATCTGAGGTCCCTGGACAAGCTAGGAGGAGGAAAGTGACAGAGAAGTTCAAGTTTGCTGCCACATCAGCAAAGACTGACCATGCTTTCCCAACTTTGCAGGAGTATTACCGTGTTAAAGTGTATTACGTTTTTGTGGACACAATGATACAAGAGCTTCAGAGACGCTTTAAAGGAGGAGATAATTCCATATGGGAAATGTTGCATGTCTTCCATTGCCTGGTAGTCCCAGAGAACTGGAAAACAGCAAGCATTCCAACATCAGCACTCCAAGCTGTGAAGAAACTGTGCCATTTCTATAACGTTGAAGAGGAAGACAAATTGCTGACAGAACTGAAGGTCTTCCATACTTCATGCTTGTGCCCACCACCAGTCAATGTGTCATCTATTCTTTCAGCTGTCAAGGAAAACAATGCACATCTAGTTTTTCCCAACATGACTGAGCTGCTGAAAACATATGGCACACTTCCGGTGTCCACAGCAACTGTGGAACATTCCTTCTCAAAACTGAAGCTGGTGAAAACCAAACTTGGCAGCCTTTACAAAGAGGAGAGATGACCAACATGACCAACAGGAAATTGCTGTTATAATTTATAAATGCCTACAACAACTCGCCCTCCACTTATTGGTAAGATAAATGCTACTCTGTGATATTTAGTAGGTGCCAACAGAATGAACACACACACACACATTTTAGATTTTTTTTTTTTTTTTTTTTTTTTTAAAAAAAAAAAAAACAAAAAATTTGAAA